TGTTCTTTAGCCTAGATGTAGAGGATGTCGCTTCACTGGCCCATGTTGGTGTTATCATTGCACTCTTCCCAGGTGAGGCGGATAGGTCACTGGCCACTGGATGGCCGCTCACCATGGCTCACACTGGCTGTCAGCCGCTCACACTGGCTGCCGACCACTCACGGTAGCTCACGCCAGCCCACTGCAGCAGGGGCTGCAGCCTGCATCGTTGCTGGTGACTCACCACAGCCCAGCTCCAGGTCAAGCTGTTGTTCAGCATCTTAGCTGCAGAGGGCAGTGTCACTGGCCCTCATATGTGGGATCCGAACCCCAGGCCCTCTGGCGTCCCAAGCCAGTTCTTAACCAACGCGCCACTCGGCCGCCCCCTAAGTTATTATTTTTAAGAAAGTTTTTTTGAAATGACCTACAGTATTGGCATATGAGATCTATGATGCCATGAAGTTGATGGTTTTCACAGGCCTCTCTCGCTCCAAAGCCTGTGTCTGACTGGGAAATTGCCTGCATGCCTGTGGCTTAATCAACTCTTTTTCTGCTGAGCACTTTTTTGCAGAATGCTATTTGTGTGCTTATTGTATATTTCCCACATTCTGTCAGGAAGTTATTAAAGTGGCTTTACTAAGTTCCTTTGCGTATTTCATTTTGTTTTTTAAGATAGAAGATTGAAATTCATTTTGTGGCATCCTCTTGGTTTTGGATTATTCATGCGTTTAAGTTATTTGGGCTGCTACCATCTCCTGTGACCTAAGGCAGTGACTGACATGAACCTAGGGAAGGACTTCTTGTTCCTATTAGGGGAGGCAGAAACCACTCATTCATCTATGAATTCTAAAGGAATTTAATTCTTAAATATTGAATGTAAGGAACTAATTTATTTTATAACTCAATGTTTGGAAATTGAGTTATATTAGACCAAAAATTCTGTATGTATTGGTAGCCATTTGTAACACTTGTGATATTGAAATGGAAGTAAATTAGACATTGATAATACGTAGACCAAAAGAGAATATAAGAATCATAGTTATGAGGCTGTAGTGAACCGAAGTCCATTGTTTAAACCTGGAAAGTTATCTTAGAAGTCATTGAATCCAAGTCTAGGATATACAAGAGGCAACTGAAACCCTTCAAGTAATTTGACCAGAGTCACCAGCTAATATAGGTGTAGGTAAAAATCATATGATATGAGGATAGTGGAAGTAGTGACAGTACAGTCCCTTTAGAAAGGGGTCTCTAAGGCTTCGGGAGGTAGGTTGGAGCCAGGGAAGGCCCTTAGGTATAGAGGGCTGATATGAAGTATGAAGTACCCTGCGATTTATGATCTGCTACGTTAATTCTGAAATTAATTGGTTTTGTGGTGACTCACTTATGGAGATTCACTTATCACTTATTCATCAGGCACTGATTGACTGACTGCCTACAATATTTCAGCTGCTGTGCTAGATGTTGGGGCTACCAGTAAGAATAAAACATATCTCTGCACTCATGAGCAGCACAAGAGAGAACCTTCTGTAATATTTTGCCATCTCTCTCTCATATAAAAATTCAGTGTTAAGTTACCAACTTAAGTGACCTACTGGGTTTATGAGCCACAAATCATTGCCTTCATATTTCTAAAGAATTCAGAAAATCAGAATCTGATCATACCACCAAACAAGCTGTGTCTTGGGGTCCAGCGGTGGTGTGAAGAAAAAGTAGATTGTTGAGGAGGAGATGTTTCTGCAGAGACAGTCACCTGAGTCACCCGTTACCTTTGTGAATTCTAGTTTTGGCCTCCCCAGAAGGCAAGGGATTGGGGGTTATGGTAGGGCAGGTATGCACTTGGTGACTTTATGCACAAGTCCTCTGCTACAGAAAACTGGAAACCTGTTTGATATGGCAGAACTTGGTTAGAGGTTGTTCTTCAGTCCGTTATTGCTTCTTCGACTGAGACTGAGAACTTCAGAGGAATGTGGACTGGTGCCAGGCTGTCAGGTCAGGGACACAGTTTCTGCCAAAGTCAAGTCTGCAAGAAGAGATCTTTTCAGGTGAACTTGTTTGTCAATCATTTGTCCTAAGTGGAGAAAGGCACTCTCCCGGGTTCATGGAGTCAGTGGACAAAGATTGAATTTTGTTAGGAAAACCATAAGCCTATGGATTTTCCTTTGAGTAGTTCTGGCTATGATTTTGCCCCTCCCGTTTTCTCAGCCAGCGTCAGGACAGTAGTCAACTCTAAAGTTATTCCGTGTATAGTATTCATTCAGTCAGTCAGTCAGCAAATATTTACTGAGGCCCTGTGTGCCAAGCACTGTGCCAAGTGCCAAGGGATACATGCTGGGACAAGCTCCCTGCTTTCAAGAAACTTACATATTAGAGAAGGAGGCTAGACGGAAACTCATTAAAATGATTTCAAGGCGTATCAAGTGCTAGGAAGGAAATAAACAAGGCGCTGTGTCGGAGAATACCGCAGGCGGGGAGTTCTTCAGGGTGCTCCCTTCCATTAGTTTGGATAAGCAAACCCATGGGTAGAAATGTAATACTCTGGGAAGGTGGGAGAAAAGCATGATTCACAGTGGTATTATGGTTTCGTGGTTAATGCAGTATTTAGGAAATGAACGTTAATGAGGAATGAGAAAACTAAATGGTACTCTTCATAATAAATTCAACTGAAATGAATGAGCTAGGATAGTTTCCCCGTTTGGTTAGGAAGCCACTGAAATTGGGCCGTGACCATCCCGTCCCAGTGTAATTCGAGCCTTCTGTGTTTATTTCCCCCTCAGGTGGAGGCCCTGAATTGTGATCTATGTCCTCCCTACATCCGCTGCCGGAAAGTACTTCATGATCACATGACCCTGGACATGGATGCTGTCCTGTCTGATTTTGTACGTTCCACAGGAGCTGAGCCGGGGCTGGCCCGAGACCTCCTGGAAGGTAAGTGGTCATGGGAGGGAGAATGAGAAGAGAGAAAGTAAAATGTAACATTTATTAGAATGATTGGGACATTTAAGGTGATCAGGAAGTCACTTTGTGTATGGTAGACCTTACATTTAAGTTACTTCTAATAACCTACTTTGTATATGACCCACCATAATTTAAAAATGCAAAATACCCTTTTCACCTTAAATTTTTGAGGTAGCTTTCTACACTGTTAATTTATGCTCAGGTAATGCAAGTGAAATTTTGTATTAGCCCACTAAAAGCATAATTCTAGATCTTTAAGACTTCTTTATATGTAAATGACTGTTGGATTTTCATATTTGGAATCATCCATGGTTTTGTTTCTTTTCTTCCCTACTTTGTATGAGTAGTTCTATGTAAAGTGGATTAGTTTAATATTTTCATTTTGCTGCTTTTGTTCACTTACATCTGTATACACACATAAGTACGAAAGTTTTAGGTTTTAAGGTCCCTAAGGCTTGGAATCATGTAGTGGCATCCTTTGGAGTCATAATGTAACAGATGCTTTTTGATGATGAAAATATATAATGATACAAATAGATAAAAGCCTGTGGGGAAGGGGAAGGTCATAGTACACATGGCTGATTTTTTAGCTTGTCAGCCCTTAGCAAGGCGGGGCAGCCTGGCATTTGCTTAGCTGCCTGTGAACGAGTACCAGTTTGGGAATGGAAGATTGGGGTTTAAATTCCAGTTTGCTAATTCAGTATGACTGCGCTTCACTTGCATTTTCGATTTCATCTCCTACTATGCTCTCCCTCACTTCCTGTGCTGCAGCATATCCCCCTGTCACCTTTTCCTGATCACATCGTTTCCTAGGTATGCGGTGTCCTTTCCTTCATTATTCTGAAATTCTCCTCATCCTTCAAGATTGGCTCAAATGCCTCCCCTTCGTCTTATAACCTGTGTTGAACACCTGTATGATGTACTCGAGATACATTATTTTATTCTCACAACCACTCTGCAGTATAGGTTTTATTAGCCCACTATTACAATTTTAAAAACTGAGGCTCAGGAGAGGTTAAGTGGGATTTGAACCTAGGCCATCTGGTTTCAGAGTCTGCCTCTTGACAATTATGTTACAAATTAATGCTTGCCTGTCCCCTATCTATCTATCTATCTATGTCTCATGCACACACACACCCATGCTATGAGAGAAAAGCTGAGGGTGCTATGGAAGTGTAAGAGAGAAACCTAAATTAGATAGAGAGTGTGGTTAGGCCTTTCTGAGGAAATGACATTTGAGCTGAATCCGGAAGCATGTGTAGGAGTAGCAAGACAAGGGACCTAGAAGAGTATTTCTGTAGAAGAAATCGCTTATGCAAGGACCCTAAGGTGAAAGAGAGTTTGGCACATTGAGGAAATTCATAGTGAGTGAGGTAGGAAGAGGGTTGCAAGAATGCTAGGAAGCTGGTTAGATAGGCAGGAAGTAGAATATGGGGGGCCTTTGTAGGACATGGTAAGGAATTTCAATCTCATTCTACATTCACTGGGAAGCTGGTGACGGATTTTAACCAGGCACGTGACGCGATTGGACTGGAGTTTTTAACACTGTACTGGTTGAATGATATGGAACGGATTGGAAGGTGTCCAGAGAAGAAGTGGTAAATCAATTAAGAATATTGCCATAGTGCCGGCCAAGTGGCTCAGTTGGTTAAGAGCTCGCTCAAGAGTTTGAGCTCTGAGCAACAGCGGTTC